AGAAAACAGCAGCAACATCCAGTCCTGAGAGAATTCCCTCTGCAAACTGATGAGGCAGCTGCCAGCTTGCACAGTGCAAATCCATTCCCTGCAGGCCACGAGGTGGAGATCTCTGGCAAAGCAGGATCCAAAGGAAGTCTTTTACCCAGCCTAATGTTACTATTAACACTTGGAGCCATTGCATCAAGCCAATTTTTCTGTTTGTTTTTAAAGTTTGATAGAAATGTCACTAGTGGAAAAATTAAGTAAAGAGCACTGGTTAGCCACAGAACTGGACACACCTGGCTGCAAACCCACCAAAAGAGACTGACTTCATTAGTACTAGGGACAGCAGAGTAAAATTTATATCTGAAATATGCCTGCACCAGTAGAATTTGCTGAGGCCACAGACTCTCGGTGTGTTTTTACAGCTGTGTCAAGTTTGGGTTTCTGACTCTTGCCGACATTCAGGAGTGCTGAAGGAGCTCAGGCTAACAGGTCCCAAAACTTTGTAGCAGAGATTTAGATCTCAGCAGTTTTAACAACCGGGTTTTGAAATAATACAAACTCAATTTGGAGCTGGAGCTGATGTAAATTTGCAGTTAAAATGCTTTACATTCTACCCCTTTGGGCTCCAAAGAACCAGTTAAGAGCAGATGGCACATTTCAATAAAGCATCAGCATCACCTCAGGAATACAGTGTCCATTTTCTGCATCAAGTGCCAGCATTGTTGCTAGATTGGAAGCAAGCTTAAAGAACTGCAACTTTGCATGTCAGCAAGTTAAACTAATTGCATGCAGGCAGCAATTCCACCCGGATGCTCTGTCACTTGTACCACAATACAGGAATCTGAGTTAAATCTTTACCTTTGATACACTACATGAGAGAAAAGGCAAGGAATGGACCCCTAGGATCTATGCAAATGAAAATTTAGTTCTCTGAATGTACTCAGTAAAGTTTCTTTTCACTTATCTTATTTCTGAGAAAGACTCAGATTCTGAAATTTAAGAGCATCAACACAGGAACATTAATGTCTTCTTTTTATCTATTATTCTTGATGTATTTGACCACCTTCTTTTGGAGGCAGAATATTTACTGATTGCAGGATTATATTACTTGAAAATAAATTGCTGCTATACATATCCTTCCATCAGGTCACATACCCTCTGTCATTACCTCAGCTTCAGTTTAAAAGAATCATTATGGATAAAGAGGTCAAGATGAATAAAAAGCATGTAGCACTTGGGAAACTGCCCTTTATTGGTCACTCAAAACTCCTTGCAATTGCCAAAGGTGAGAAGTGAGAAAGATTTCAGCCAGGGTACAGCTCTGTGAAGGGAAGGAAGGTGAGTGGAGAAGAGTGAACAAGCATGGAAAAAACAGGAACTGCCTGTGCAGGGGCACGAGTGAAGTGGGATATGAAGCCAGAACCACTGGCAAAGACAAAGGAAAATGAAGCAGTGACAAGGAGCAAGGGAACTGGCAACATCTTCAAACATCAGGGCAGAGATAATTTTCATCTAACATACAGTAAATGCTACCAGAAGAGACCAAAAATTTTGCTCATCTCAACAAAATCCCAGAACTTTTGGGTCATCCCATTCCACCTCCTGCCATGGCAGGGACACCTTCTACTATTCCAGGCTGCTCCAAGCTCCATCCAACCTTCCAGGGATCCAGGGGCAGCCACAGCTTCTCTGGGCACCATTCCTGACAGGGAGGAATTCCTTCCACATGTCTACCTAAATTCCCTCCCTTTCACTGTGAAGCCATCCCTCCTTGTCCTGTCACTGCAGTTCCTGAGGAAGGGTCCCCCTCTGGCTTCCCTGCAGGTGCTGGGAGGTCTCCACACAACCTTCCCTCCTCCAGCCTCAACAGCCCCAACCCTCTCAGCCCATCTCCATAGGGGACTGACTGTGAATAATGACTGAGAGATCAGGAATAAATAAAAGATTAAAAAATCAAACCAAACCACTGCAGATAATGAAAGCCCTCCCCAAGACTACAGTGAAGAGAACAGTCCTGATTTCCAAATTTACCCCCCAGGAGAGTCCACTCTGCTTTCTCACCCCCCTCAGTGCCTGCTCAGGAGTGCTCACCCAAGGAGGTTCATTAAACCAAGGGGCCCCTGTGCAGCTCAGCTGTACTAAATAGACCCAGGTGTAACTGCCTTGCAGATTAATCCCTGAAATGTGCAGCTTCTTCCTCTGAGCATCTGCTATGGCCACATAAAGGCTGTGTTAGCACCAGGCCACAGTCTGGTGTGTTACAGGAATCACAGCAGGGCCAGCTAAGCACAAGGGAGATTCCACTGCAGGGTCATTCCTACAAGAACTGCACAATTTAAATTCAACGGTGAACTGAGCAGATGCCTAACCTGACAAGACAGGGAACAAATGGCATTTCAGCAATTTTAGAGCCCCTTGAGTTGCATCACACAGCAACCATGCTACTGCAAAATGCAAGTATAAACACTTCAGGATACAGACTGGATGAAAAGATAAAGACACTGATGGGTTTTTTTATACTTCAAGGAATTTCGTGGAGAAAAGGGATAGTTTAGTTTGCATCAATGGAAACCCTGTGCATCCCTTTAAAAATAACTGACTGCAAACACTCTTTTTTTTCCCCCTAAGGTTTACTGTAAAGCTCTCAGTGCAGGCCTACCCTGCAGCATTCTTCACTTTGGAGCCCTGCATGGCTTAAAGGACAGCAAACAGCCAAATCTGCTCCTCTTTTCTGACTGCTGCTCCCAACCCTGCACAGAAAACTACAAGCCAGCACTTTGTTAATATAAGACAAAATTAAGGACAAAAGAAACAGACAAATCATTTTCTTTTCCAAAGGTCATTTTCTCTATGGAATCAGACAGATACTTCCAGGCGTTCTGGAAGGTGACATGTTTGGCTGGAGTTTGTTTTGGATTTGGGGGGATTTTTTGCTTTTCAAGAAGAAGAACCTTAAATTTACACCCAGAGTAAAGATCTGAGCTGTGTATAGCTCCTAGAGAAAGCAGAATGAACCAGAGATACGATATGGAAGGCACTGGATAAGGACAAAAATGCAGCAGCTCTTTCATTCAGTCTTTTTCTCCAGTACATCTGATTTGTTAGGCTCACTCACACTGCCCTACCAGAAAGAGGAGATTCCCACACTGGAATTTATCTAAGCACATTAACATAGCGAAAAATCCTCAGATGTACGAATTTAAATTTAATTCAAAAGAAGATTAACAGGATGTGTTGTCTATAAGAGCAATGTGCAACAAAGTAAAGCTACAGAAGTCCCAACAACTAGGAACAAACCCATTGCTAAAGGAATAACTGAAGTTATACCAGAACCAACACCTTCTAAAACCGCATACAAAATAAAGAATCAGAGTGAAACTTCTTGAATTTCTAATGTGATTGCATCCCAAATCCTGACTCACTGGTTAATTCCCTTGTCTGGCACCACCAGGAACATCCTGGCAGCTTCTCCAATAGAACTGACAGCGAAGGCTTAACAAATAAGGAATTAATTACTGCTATATGAAAACTATCACTTCTCTAACACTGAATCACTGAATAGTTCTCTTCCTTTTTGACAACACAGATGTTGCCAGGCCTGTTCTCCCACAGAAGTGCCCTGAACACAGGCAGCCTCACCTGCATCAGGTCTGCTGTCACCTACTACCACTGCCTCTGCAATGCCTTCTCTTCAGGCAAACACCAACACAGGGCTGGAGAACCACATTTTCATACTTTAGCTACAGAAATTACCATTACAACCAATTACCATAACCTTCCTCAGAACAGGCCAGAATGATCCAACCTTCCTCTTCCTTCAAAATTGCAAATGAACTCTCCTTGGAACTACTCTCTCTTTAGAACTTTCTTCTTTTTTTTTTTTTTTGTGATAAAGATTAGGTATAGTGAAAATCCAATATTAAAAACAGACTAAGGACTAGGTAAAGTCATGTGCAGGAACTTGACAAAAAACCCTTGTTGATTAATTTCCTTTTAGCACTTTAGATACAGAGAACACTCAGAGCTCTGCTGGAATTACTGAAGTTGTTGCTATAGATTTGGCACCAGTCACATTCCTCCCTACCAAGCTGCTCATTCCTATCCCCATTCTGTTGTAGCAGCATCCACTCCTGCAATCACATTGCAAATCATGTAGGAAATGAATCAATTTCAGACAAATCAATACCTTTATCCAGGCCACAATGCACTTTCAGAAACAAGGACAGTGCTCAATACAGCAGCTGAGGGAACGAACGGTCAGGAGTGAGGGCTGCAGGTACCAGCTTAAGCTAGAAAAGGAATCAACCAGTTGGATTCTTGGGCATTTTTCTAAGATATTTAAATCCAAAAGAGCACTGAAAGATGGGAATCATGAGGATTAACACCAGCAGAGAGGACTGTGGTGGTTTGACCAGGAAGAAGTGGGAATTCTGGGATGTTGGAAAAAAATGGGGGGGACAGATGTCCCAAAACAGAGACTGTGCCTTTTTGGAGTGAGACAAGGCATCCTTAAAAGATAACCCTAAAAGCAGCTCTGGTCCATGCCAGTGGTGAGAGCACTGGGCATGGAAGGGAGATGTCACAAGCGGCAAAAGGACTTTCCGGGCAGTGCCAAGTGACATGGAAGCACACGAGGTTTCAGCGTGTTTCCAGGGGAAGCCTATGGTGCAAGAAGGACTCCTCTCCTCTTCATGGACTGAAGTTTGAATATCCTAAAGGGTGGTGCCAGACTGGGCAGTTGGTGATTTGGGGGAATGTATTGGATTGGGAAATTTTTGGGTGGTGGGGAGGAGGAAAGCGCTTTTTTGTAAGGTTTTCAATTTCAATTTTTTTTTCCTTATAGGTTTTTTTTCCCTTCTTTTCTTGTAGCTTAGGTAATCAAGTTTTCTTTATGTTTAAGCTGGAGCCTGCTTTGCTTATTCCTGGTCACATCGCACAGCAGACACCAGAGAGAAGGTATTCTCATGGGGGCACTGGCTCTGTGCCAGGCCCAAACCATGACAAGGACTTACCCCCATCACCTTCCCACGCTGCTCCACGTCCTCCCACATGCAGTGCACGATGTAGCGGCACATGTACTTCCCCGTGCGGCCCTCCTGCTTCAGCCGCACCAGGCACATCCTGCAAGAGCACACACCACTCAGCCCCCGGGCTTTTGTTCAAGGGAGAGAGTAAATTAAATACATTCCAGCTCATTTAAGAGTTTTCTTACAGTATATGTTTGTGATCAGGAGGAAAATACACACGGATTTTTTTTTTTTTTTTAAATAAACCACTACAAACATTTCCATTCTGTACTCAGGAGCTGCATCTGCTGGATTTTGGCCAATCCAGCCATGGAAGAGTGACAGTGGACTCTATTCTTGCTGACAGTACGGTAATCTAGTTAAACACTACTGCAACCTGAATTCCTCAGCCTTAAGAACACCTCACACTCTGGAGCAGGAACACATGGCTTGTCTAATCCAGGCTCCGAGCCAGCTGTAGCTCAGTTGGTCACTCAAGGGCTGTAAGAGCCCAACTAGCCAAGCTGGGAAAGCTTAAGCAAGTTACAGACTCCAACCAATCCAAATTAACAATGTCCTAAATTACTTCAACTACAGGGGTGTTAGGATACATGTCCAACCACCAGGCAAAACCTCCACGTGCAAGACCAGCTCAGAGGTTTGTAAGTGCACTGTGAGATCTTAATGAGAACATCAGGTTGAGTTGTTTTACTTTGGTTTTAAGCATTAAAGCCACTTAAAACTTCATTGCTGCTGTTCTGTCTACAAAATAAAAGAATAATTTTATTTTGCCTCTCATAAAACATCTGTAAAGAGCACAAACTGAAGCCCAGGCTGATTCCTCAGTGGGCAGGGACCAGTCCTGTCACCTGTCCCATCTTCTCTACCTCATTCAGCAACTCCTGTGCTGAAAGACAGAAGTGCCTGTCCAGGGCTGACTGAGTGACTGCAGACAAGGTGATGCTCAAACACTGGAGCTCAGAGAATCTACTGCTTTTCACAGACATGCTAGGAAGGAAACTGCTCCCTGTAAAACCAACAGAGCAGAGCTGCTGGAGGCCACTGTGGAGCTGGTGCACACTAACAATGGTGAATGTGCCACAAGAGCTAAAAGGAAAATACGATTATTTATTGTTAATAGATTCATTTCTTTAGTGAATATAAGATCTGCAGGCATTAAAAGTATTTGGTGACCCATGAATGCCAGCTCCACAGGGAAAATCACAAACACCTGAAGTGTGCTGAGATGACCTGTAAAGTGACAGATGCCCATCTTTATCATGGATTCTATCTTTTGTATGGATTAGTAAAGGAAACATTTTCTAACCTATTAAAGAAGTAAAACTTACTGCCAGAGACAGTCAGAGACAAAAGATGAAGGCAGCAAAACCCACAGCAGTCCCATATTCTTCTTGCTAGTCAGAATAACTGTCCCACCACACAAATGCACTTAAGATGGCACCAAAACCAAACCCTCATTTTCTCACAGAAAGATGGCAAAGCTTTCTGTTCAAACAGTGGTCAGAGAGCAGCTGTCAAAGAACAGCTGTCCAGGTACCAGACCTTCCACAAAACAAATGCACAAAGAGCTTAAAACTTTCAGTTTACTTCCACCAGTTTCAAAACCTTTGTTTCTCTTGTGCATTTACATAATTGAACTGTACAAAGAAGTGAATTACTGAGTTGAAAATTCTTACTCACTCTTAGCAAGTCAAAGAGAAAAAGACTCAGTTAAAAAGACTAATTTTGTGTTAAGAAAAGCATTTTTATGCTTCTCTTGCTGAACAGCTGAACTCAGGGGTGAAAAACTCAGGGGCAAGAAAAGCTCCCCCTGAGCACAAATAGTGTTTCCTATCCTGTGTGCCTTGGGTGGTGGAGAAGCAGGAGGAGAAAGCAGTGCAGAGATCAACAACTGGTCAGTGATGAGCAGGACTGGGCTGGTGTGCAGGGGAAAACCTGCTACTCATGGAGCCTAGAAGGGAGCTCTTGTGTTTGGATGCACAGTGCTGACACAGAGCTGTTCTGCAGCACCACCAGTGAGATCATGGAATTTTGCAGCTTATTTGGAAGTTTGGTGGTTTGTTACTACACCTGCTGTCTGAGGTGACACAGACTCTTTAAAGCCTGTAAACCTCCTAACCAGATCACCATGGCCTGAAACATTTCATCATTTCACTGCACAATCTGCTCTGTAATTTAGTCAAATACTGACTCATCTCCATCAAACCCTGAAAGGAAAATTACTCCAAACTATCTTTAGAAAGCTGTCCACCTCACATTAGTTGGGTTGGATAATTTTTGCTGTATTTAAGTTATGCAGAGAGATTATCTTAGAAGAAAATCTTAGAATCTTAGAAGAAAGGATAGTGGAAAAGGATCAGGAGCATCTGTAACTCAACCCTCATCAGCTGAGATGTTGCAGTTCCTCACAACAGCCTCAGCCAGGTTCTGTCAGTGCTCCCAGAGTGCCCGACTGGCCTGAACACCAGAAGTGGTGGTTGACACCTCCTGATCACTGCTGTGAGGTGCCCTGTGCCATGCATCAAGGTGTGATCAGCCATTAAGGGTAAAGTGAACCTTCCTGTACCTGGCCACTCATTCCTGCTTCCTCAGTTGCTCCAGAGCTACTATTTCTGCAGCTATGCTATAGCTGCTCAAAGAAATTACTCTGGCTTTTAACACCACAAATATCAACAGCATTTTTGGAAGGCTTTATTGTGTTTAACCCACTCATGAACAGCTGCCAGCTTGGGGGATGGCAGGAAACTCCTGAACTGGCTTTTCCATCAGCTCCCTTGTGACATTGCACTTCAGGGAATGATGATGATCAGCAGAATTCTGAACAGCTCCTAATTAGGTTTGCATGTTCTCCTGTGCTCCAGCCTGGCCAGCTCCCCAGCACTGCTGTATCCAGCACACAGAGCCCAGCCTGGCTCTGCAGCCTCCTCTCCCCTGGGGCCTTTCTCAGGCTGCTGTGGCCCAGTCCCTCATGTTAAGGTAGGAGCAACTAAATGCTGGAGACACTCCAAATAAACTTATTCTTAAAATCTCTCTCAAGTAAGACTATCCTGATGCAATTAAGACACAAAACATAGAGTTTATTCCCTTTCTTCTGAAGCACCACATTTCAAAATGGCAGTGTGTCCTCAAGCATCTCTGTGCTGACCAGAGAAATCTTTTCTGGCAGGAGTGGTTTTCTACATATACTTGGTAGTTTTCACTCCCCTCTGGACTTCCTGAGGCTGATCAGAACTTTCCTAAGTGCAGATTTCCTTAAGAAAAGCAATGCTCAGATGAGTTTTTGCAACAGGTCTCTGAGTCTTTCAGAACAGGAGTTGTAGCACCACTCTATTTGATCCTAAATACTTCAGAGATGTCACCATGCTTGGTGTGGTGACAATACAAAGGGAGCTCCAGGTATCTACATGGCAAATACTGAACCAAGACATTCCTCAGCAGTCACCCAAGTAATTTCTTTGGCAGTTTGGTGACAGCTCTGGATTCAGCCAATACTCCTTTTAAATGCATGGGAAAATGCAAACCCAGCAGAAGAAATAAAGAGCTTTTCTAAAGGTCTGGGCTTCTAAATATAAACCAAGAGTCCCTCTGACATCAGAGGTGTAAAGTAACAGAAAGGGCCTATGAAAACATGACATTCAGGAAAGAATAACCATGGGCTGGTTTTCCAAGTAATATTGATGGGTTGACTTTTTAAAGCATGATTTTAGCACTGCATTGGAAGGCACTGGAGTGTTTCTAAAGGAACATTATCTTCTAAAGAAGCTTGCAACAGCAGAGGCTAATCATGAGAGCCTGAATTCCTCTCTTTTTGAGTGGGGTCAGGAGGAACATTCTATTCACAGACAAGAAGAAGTAGGAGCCAGAGATTCAAAGAGAACCCACCAGAAAATGTGTAACACAACAACCTGCCCCGACAAGCACCTTAAGTCTGTAAAAGCTGGGATGCAAAAAGCATGGAAAAATAGACTAGACATGCTGGGCAATGGCAACAGAGAAGGAAACAAAGTTTACCAAAATGGGGAAAATTATCAACTTCTCTGGCTCCAGAAGACAATCTAAATCAGTTGAAAATAGGCTGCTGAAATAAGAAGGAAGAAGTATCTGAGAAAGTTGTGCAGACTGCTCTGCTAGGGGCAGCAGGAGCAGATGGTGATCAGAATCTCCTGGCTGGCTGCTGCCCACCAGATCAGGAGGATTTCTACCCCCTGAGGAAAATGGTCCAGCAGGAAAGAGGAGAACAGGAGCCTTCACACAGGGGTAGGATGTCCTTGGCCTTGTCAAAGCTAGCAGAAGCACTTCTGCTCCCAATTTACTGAGGTCAAACTGCCTGAAGAAAGAGATCCCAGAGAACAGCAATAAAAGCAAAGCATGGCATGGCAGGATGCTGGTCACTGTTCTCATCACAGGCAAAGCCTACAGCATTGCCCAATGAGCCAGGCAGTGAGCAGCCCTGTCACAGGCTTCTCTGTGTCCTGGAATATCAAACCAGAGCTCTGATTTGTGGTCCAGAATGACAGTGCTGCCAGGAACACAGAGGAGCCAGGCTCATAAACCCTAGAAAAAGTAACCTCTAGTGCTAACCTCCACACCTGAATTTTCTCTGCTGCCACAATGAGGGCAGAGAGATTTGGTTCTTTCCTGCTTGTGCAGGATATTGCTGTCGAACTGTCCACCATATCTCACATGTAAGAGTATTTCAATTCTCAGCAAATCTCCCCATAACATCAGCTCAAAGTGCAGCAACTCTTGGCCACCTTCAAAAGAAACCAATGTAGCTTTGATCTTAGAAACTTATGCCTGTCCTATACCAGTTTCATCTCTGTCATAGTTCTCTTGTTGATTTTTATAGTTATTCTTGAATTTGATGCTGTGTATTAATCACAGGAGGCACTGTCCCATCAATGAGAAATCAAGATAAATAAAGTGTGTTCTCTGCAGATTCATCTTAACTCTCTTTGGTTTTCCCAGATACTTACAAACAGTCTGGTTTTTAACACTTATTGCACAAGTTTTCAAAATACTTATATGAATTATTAGCTCATCAATTCAATTTTTCCCACAAGGAACAGTAGGAAATAAATAAACTGCAGATTTCAAGGGTCATCCTTACTTTGTTCCACTGATTTCATTAACTGATTATAATTTCAATGGTTCTGCTCACTTATTCACTCTTTAGCGTAATGAGCTGCCCCATCTTTCACTATATTGAGGAGTCAGGAAATTAAAAGGAGAGAAGGGAAAAAGGAGGAGGCAAGGAAACAAGGGGCCTTAAGCGCAGCTATTTCAGTACAAACTTCCTTTCAGGCTTTGGACAGCTGAACCCAAGTCTATGGACTTCAGTTCCCTGAAAGATCTGGCACTTAGAAAATTACTGTAGTCCCTTGTGCATCCTCTGACCTTTATAAGTATGTAATGCTAGATGAAAACCTGATTTTTTTGGCTACTATTTTCACAAACGAAAAAGGGAAAAAACTTCACGTTTAAGGTGTTAAATATTTTCACATGCAGCCAAGCTGGCATTCACCACCCTGCACGTACCTTTCAGAAGTGAAAGAATAAATGCCAGCGCTATAATTTGTTAAATGCTTCTCATCACCACAAACTCTCCCAATTTAAATGACTTTTACATAAAGTTAAACCTTTCCTAAAACACCCAAGTAGGATTTTTCCACACAGCCTGAGCAAGGCTTTTAGAAAACTCATGGCAAAGATCATTCCACTAGTGAGGGATTTTGAGATGTAAGAGATGTCAGCTTCTCTATAGGACTTACTGTTCTTCAGCAGAAAACAGCTTAAATTCAGTCATCAGTAAAATGAATATAACCTCTATTATCAGCCATGGATAGAAGGCTGTACTTCTTCTCACATTAAGTTGTATACAACTCCATTTCCTGAAAATAATTGTATTACTATTTTGTCTTTCACTTACCAGACATGAAGCTGGGCTACTAGAAACCATGAATTCAAAGTATCAGGCATTTGGCATCCTTGATGGAAGGGGAAAATGAAAAAAACAAAAAACCAAAACAAAACATTAAAATTAATTTAATCCCATTTTGTGCTTAACAGAAAATCACTGCACCAAAATCTAAAAGCACTTTAGTAATTTATTTTCAGCAATAACAGTACATAAATAGTGGAAGCAAACATCATTTACTGTCATGTTTGTGCTTAAACTCTAGAACATACAGCCACAGGATGCTGTGGATTCTGAAAGATTTCAGGTGTTTAGAACCCACTTGGATAACTTTTACAGAGGGGGAGAATTCCACAATGGAGAATGAGACAAACATGTGGCTTCTAGCCTGGAGAGTCTCAAAGCAGCAGTGACTAACACAGAGGAATCAATGGATGCTTTGCTCCATTCTTACACTCTTCCCTCCCATGTGCTGCTGTCTCCTGCCAGGCACAGAGTTCTGTGTTACCTGAGTCCGCTCCCACTGCCCTGGCTGGATTCACTCCATGGCTGCACAGCCCACAGCACTCTGAGTGCTCCAGCCAGGCTACACTGGGATTAAACCCATCAACCAACCACAGAAAATCTGTTTCCAGATTCAGCTCTACTCCCACAGCCACTGCTTTCCCAGAGATGGTTTGTCCATATGTGTGTTCACAGGATGGATTTTCATGTGCTGCTAGGATGCGAGGTTGGAGATTTAGGCCACGTGGCACAAAAACCATATTCCTCTTCCTCATGCTTGAAAAAAAATGAACCTGTGGGTTCTGTGCATGCCAAATCCTTTAGTTCCTGACAATCTCAAACCTTCCCCCCAGGCACACTTCTGCATGTGTTTCCTGGAGAAGGTTTTAAGGCAAGTCCCTAATGAGAAGGATCTGAGGCAGCCACCTTGGCCTACCCAGCACTTGGTGTTCCCTTCTGAGCTGTTCAAACCTAGCTGGAAGAAGGCCAGAGAGCCTTCAGAAAGTGACTCTACAGTCAGATACGCCCTAGGGAAGTCAACCTCATCTTTTCATCTTTTCTGTGCTAAATAGATTCCTTCCTGGCTCCTATGCTTCTTTGCTGTCAAGTATTACAAAGGAGATTCACCCAGATCATGAAGCAATGCTTTCACAGCCTCTTTCTTTTCACATGCCAGCTCTGGTCAGAAGAACCAAACAGATCACCACTATTCCTCCCTCCCCAGAGAGATGACTCCATCAGGCCTAGGAGGTGCCAAGGTGCAGCACCACTGCCCATACATCACCTCTAAGGCAGTACAAAGACACAAACAGTCCATGTTTGGAGATTAAACACAGGTCTCCCTCACCCTTCTACCCTTCTGGCTCTCTCATTCCTATTAGAAATAATTCCTGTGCCTAGAAATGACTACTCTGACCGAAAGCCACGCCAAGGCATCTCTAACTAGGGCAGCAGCACACAATGCCTGCATTAACCAAACCATCTCAGTAAAGGAAGGTTCCACAGGCAAGAGGCAAACACTCAGTTCAGACAGAGGTTTCTCCAGTAGGAGCTCCCATGGACCAGTCCCCACCACAGAAATCACTCTGCAGTGGAAAGCAAAGCTCACACCTCCACTCCTGGAAACACAGAAAGCTTTTAAACACCTATTCAGTACCCAGGAGGCAAGAACTTTTTCTCTAATTTTCCAAGAGTTGCAATTCTATTTTTATAAATCATTTTTAACTTCTATATTTGGACTGTCTGCATGGTAAATTTAAAGGAAGGGTGGCTCCTTTAAGCAAAAGCAAGAACTTTTTCAAGATGGATCATCTTTGCCACTACCACAACTTTAGGAAGGACACAATGGGATAACACCCACACATCCTGCACAAGAACAGGAGTGCTGTGTCAGTGCTCCCCTGAGTGTGGCAAAAGCAGCAAGAGCCTGGAAGGCACTGAGCGGTGCCTATTATGGGAGACACAAGAATTAAGAGTCCTGTAACCTCCAGCCTTTTTTGAGCTGCACTGAGCCCCACTAGGAGCCATCCAAAAGCCTGACTTGGTGGGACAAGCTCTCTACTGCTGCAGCTGCCTGACTCCAGAGAATTAACAGCATTAATAGTTCAAGTTCAATTCAAGGTAACCCTACAGTCCATATTCATCAGCCAAACTCCAGTTCAGCTCTGAGTATTACCTGCCTGATGCTAAAAGTTCTTTTGACCTTTCAAGTCTGAGGTCAGGCATGAAACTCTCTCCTCACAGGCTGCCTCCTCTGTTGCATGGGAACTACCCAAGCTCTGTGCCAAACCTGGCACCAGCAACTTTGCTATTCCCTCTGCTGTTTCTGTCTTCTCCTTTAAACAAGAAACAGCTGACATCCTAAAATAGCTCCACTTTCCCCATAAGCAGGACAGTGCAGACATTTGGGATATGGGCTCCAAAGTTTTGTCCATGAGTGATCCAGTATCAAGAGACAAAGGGATGGCAAGCATAATAAAATTAGCTGCAGTTTTATACTCAAGAGTCTCAATTAAAACACCTTCTTTATATCCTACAGCAGCCTCATGACTTGCATAGCCACAGTCAGTATTATGGGAACTGCTGTTCCAAGACATATACAGAGATAAACAGCTCACAGGGCTCTCATACTGTGCCACAAAAAGTCTCAGAAATTCCACTGGGCACCAGCAGGAATGCAGTGAGATAGAAGAGAGCCCATAAGACATGAAATGGACACTGTCCTAGCCCTCCACTACACCACCCACTCTTTACATGGTCACCTCTGTAAGACAGCGACCCTACAAACCCCCCACAGCAATCCAAGTTCCAGAAGGTCCCAGTGCAATTGTTCCTTATGCCCCAACAGAACCACACCACAAAAGCACACCCAGAAAACACTGAGAAGGGCTCTGTGCAGAACTGTTCTGCTCACTCAGGTTAAGGAGCCCACAAGTGGTTTCACACATGAAGGGCTGCAGGTTTCCCAGGTCAGCTCTGCAGGTGAACAGGGCTCACACACGGCCAGGAAGGAGCTAACAAGCTCTCCAGAGAGCAAAGCTGACTCTGAGCAGTTCACCTGATATCAACACCCTCCTGCTGGAGCCAGAAGGGCAGCAGAGCACAACCACAGCCCAGGTGAGCACATGGCTCAGATAGCACCACCCTGCCCTGGGGCTCCTGTGGGCACTGGGTGGGGAGCAGCACCCATAGAGCACAGGCTGGGGCACTGCTCTGCTGCTGCAGCACAGCTCACAGGTACCTGCCTCTCCTCCCACCAGCCCCCCAGGCTGCTCCTTCAGCAGTGAGCAATGGGCTTAAGCAATGTCCATCTTCAAAACCAGCTCCCAACTGACACAGTTTGATGCAGACATGGTAAACTCAAGTGAAATTTGGGTATCCTGCTCCATGCTATGTTCCCCTCTCAGTTATGCACTCCCTAGCACCTGCTGGGTGCCACAGCTGCTCTCCACCAGACCCCTCCATGTCCCACTTTAGCTCACCAACACAAACCAGGGCGTCAGTACTCCTTCTGACCAAGGACATACCTGTGCAGTCCAGAACAGGGCACAGGAAGATGGGAGATGTGAGACTTTCCCCTTTGGCTGCTACTTCAACTCAGCTGCCCATGGAACCACAGCCTAAAGCTTCTCCATGGCAAAATCCTGTTTAAAGCTTCCCACCCATCCCACACTGCTTGTTTTAGGGGAGCTACTTTTTAACATGGATCACAAGCCTGTTAAATTTTTGAGCTAATCCCCCAAAATAGTTTAATTTCTATGTGACAGAAGTAAAAGAAACTTCTTTTACCTGTTGTGGCAGGAAAACAATGATTTCTTTGGAACCACAAGCACTGACCCCCCACAGCACAGGTGATCCTATACCACCAACAGGTGCATCATGCACTCCATCAATCTCAGAAAACCACCTTGATCCTTAGGCAACAACTGTCTCAAGTCCATACAAACATATCCTACTCTTTAAATACATGCTTTCTTTTTAAAACAATAAGACAACATCAAAAGCACAATTGAAGCTATTTTACTCTGTACTGAACCTGAAAATCTGTGTCAGAATTTTTTCCACAAACAAGTTTAGAAATTCCTTTAAATTTTAAGCTAGGGCAACATTTATAGATCTTTGTACAATTAAACAGGGATAGTGAAACACCAGTTAAAGACAGCAAAGCCCTTGTTTGAGAGGTAAATACCACAAACAGAGCAGACCCTATCTGAGCAAGCCTGGGAGGGCACTCAGCTGGGAGAGGGTGTGCACAGGCAAAATGAGGTTCCCAAGTTTTGATCACTAGAAATGAATCCTACTGCTCACAGAGTTCTCTCACTCCTACAACCACTGAAACCACATCAGAGGTTTGGAAAATCTTCTGAAAAACACTTGAAAATTTTGCAGTAGCAACACCATGTAACAAACCACCCTCACTATGCTCTGCACTGGATGAAGGTGTTCCTTCAGCTGATCTCTCATGAGGCAGCAGCCCCAACCTGTGCTGTAAGGAAGCATCTGGCAGCTCAGGAATCCAGGCCAGACCCAGCTAATGGCTTTACTACCAGCTAAATCACACTGACACGAGAAATAATTCACCTAAGCAAAAAATACTATTGCAGCTTACATAATTGTCAAAGAACATCTTCCCTCTTCACCAGCCAGGTTTGAAACTATTCAAAGCTGCAACAGATTTTTCAGCTGATAGTTAAAAACCACTGTGTACAACATTAAAAAATCATCCCAATCCAAGCCACTAATATGCCTATATACTTATAGGAGGGACTTGTTCTACCTATGTTCTAGTTATATATATATATATATATATGTATATGTATATACGTGTGTGTGTGTATATATATATATAGACTGTTCTAGTCATACTCTCTACCCAGTCAAGAGATGTGTCCTGATTTAATGGTGTCAGGGTCAGTAAAAAATGTAAAAATTCTCTTAAGTTGTACCCAAACCTCCTCCAGCCATGACAGAGACAGGTGATCCCTGTGACCTAACTGACCTTGTATCATTAAAAAGTTGTGCATTAGTGGATGGGGGTGATTCCCTTACCTGCATCCCAGTTGTACTGGGGATGGCACAGGGTAGGACACAGAGACCACAAAAAGGGAAGGGATATTTGGATTCTTTGTTTATCCCACCCTGGTAATAAAAAATGGCAATATCCCTTGAAGTTCAGGCTATTCCAAGTTCTTCCCATCCCATTCCTGTTCCTGTTGCCCACTGCAGCAGGGAAAATGTAACAATGCCAGACTCCAGGGTCTGCCCTGGTACCCCTGGCACTCCAGAGCTCAGGGGAACGCTGCAGTACAGTTCCCTTCCAGCTGACCATGCCCTGCTAAGGTCTGACAAGACTCTGTTGTTGCATTTATCATGACAAATAGACCCAGTGACATGACTCCAGTGTGTGTTCCCTTCCCAGGGCAGCAGGCACACACAGCCTCAGGGCAGCACTTACTGTTGAAGAACTCCTCGAAGTCGGTTTTCTCCACGCAGCACGCGTACATGCGCAGCGCCGCCACCTTCAGCTTCTGAACAGAAGGAACAGACAGCACTTGAAACATTCATCACCGGGCTGGGGAACACTGCTGGCTTTGTCCCTGAACACTGGGAACACTGGTGAACACTGTCCCTTTGGCCCAGTGCCATTTTCTGAAAACACTTCTTTTGAGAATCTCATCGCTTGAGATTTTCAGGAGCACATTAAACTGTTAGATCTGCCAGTAATGGCATGAGTATAATTCATTTTGCCTTGAAGGAAAAAAAAATATTAAATGTCCTCCTGAATAGCCTTCCAAATCTAGTGTGTTAAAATACTTGATATAATTACAGAAAATATAAATTAAATGTTTTTCCTTACAGAGTCTCTGAAGATCCCAATTCACAACTCCTGGTTTCCTCCAATAAATTTAAGTGATGCATACCACTAAGAGTGTTTTGTGTAATTTAGGTTTTAAATATTAAAGAAGTCACATACCAGATATGTCCTAAAAATAGCCTTTTTTTTCCTAGAAAAGTGACATTGGACTGATTATGAGAGTGAGAAAGGAATCCCAAATGAACAACATGAGGTATTCCTGCGTGCTTTGGCGCATCTCATTTTGTTCCCAGCCTGCTACTGCACCCAAAACATCTCCAGTGCATCATCCAGAACACAGACAAGTGTGCTGAAGCTTCAAAGAGCACAATAACTAATAGCAAAAATCTTAAAAATAAATGGCATTGGGTTTGGATTGCTCTGGTCTGGTTTTTTTTGTTTTTTTTCTAGTGACATATACCAGTGATCATCTCAGTGCTCAGGGATGAGCACCCTACCTGCTAAAAGGCAGTTCGAATCACCAAAGTAATTATTTGTGTCTCCTCCGACCAAGAGGAAAATAAAGAAGTTGCAACTGATTGCTGAGGAAACACAGGAGCTCATTATTTTTCTCATTCAGTAATTTCAGGCTTCTGTCAAAAATCAGACATACATCCAAACTTCTCGAAGTAAAATGATTTGCATTGCTTACAGGAGTTCTGAAGGTTTCCCTTTTAAAGGAAACACTGCCTGGTCTGTGAGCAGAGATCTCCCTGGTGAGAGTCACTGCCCCAGAGCAGGCATTACTAGACATTAAAAACATATTGTAAAAAACAGTCCCCACAATCCAGCCCTTAAATAATGCAGGTAACAAAGGAGAAACTGATGAAATTTAATCATGGAAGTTTTAGGGTGTAGAAGAAGCATGGGGGAAGGGAGAGTAACACAGAAAAAAGCAAGAGAAATATTAAGAAACTTCCCAAAGATCTCCTAGAGAGCACGGGCAAGGCCAAAAATGAACTCAGGTCTCTTGGGTCCTAACCACAAAATAACTCTCTCCCAACCCAGGATCTCCAGCCAAAAGCAGGCAGTAAAGAGCAGCAATTAAGGAGAACTCTGAAATCAACACTTAGAGCTAACAAGAATCTTTATTACAACAATATGTACACAAGCACATGGGAGAGAAACTATACTCTCAAGAGGTTTAGCATCACCTGATTAAAGCAACTGATTTTAACCAAAATAACTAAGCCTGTTGCAAGTCATTTATCTTTGCTTTACACTTTCTGAGGAGCAGCATGCAATCAGCAACAGTTTCAGATCAGTCTCTGAAGAGGTGCACTCTGCCTTGCAGCTATTCAAAGCACCTTAAAACTTCCATTATTTTTAATCTTTTTATTCAAATAACTGGTTTTCATTTCAACACAATTGAGCTCAGTCCTTCTTTCAAGCTGCCTTCTCCTCTCATTCTTTTGTACTATTCCTTAGTTCAGAGAAAAGAAATTATGAATTTCATCTTTTTTTCTTCCACATAAGGAACCAAAAGCATCTCTCACAGAGCTGCTCTCACTTAGTCAATGTTAACAACTGTTTTATGAAAGGGCTATTTAAAAAGAAAAGGAGAAAGAGCAGGACCTGTTTGTGACTCTGCCCCAGTCAGCTACCACTGAACAGTGATTTGAGCAGCAACCACACCATATCTCAGCACTGCCTGCTCAGCAGACCCTCCTGGTAAGGCTCTGACTCTCTGGTGCACAAATGAAGTGAAAATCAGATATCTGAAGACATTCAGGAAGGATTTAGACTCTACCCAATACAGCGCTGTTGCATATGTCAATGATGGCAATACATAATGGAGGTTCAAGATCTGGATTATTAATTCCTTACACCAGAAAAGAGAAATTTACATTAAAACTTATCTATTAAGTACTGCTCCTATCATAAGAAAATAATGTGGAGTGTTTTTGGTCTGCTTTATAGAATTATGAAACAAACAAAAGAATTATTAAATTACTGCTTTACCCATCTGCTGTACTTGAGTGGTCCTGTGAACCCAAAGGCTTCCATTATCCTTGTAAAAGCACCCACTTTTTCTTCAGATGACAGCAAGGAATCTTTTGCAGAAAGATGCTGTAAAATTGAAATAGCACATACTTCAGTCTCAGCACTTAAATCTGACACATTTTAGATAGCAAAGTTACCAATTTAACAGATAATTTTAGGGCTTTACTGCCTGTTTTCTTTGTTCAACAAAACAAAACATGTTTAGGTCTCCCCTGAAAATATTTCACTGGTTTTCATATGTGCCATTCCTCTGTTTATGAATACAAACATTGCATAACCATTGTGATAACAACATCCCATTGAAAGCTCACATTCAAATATTTACAGAAACCTGCTTTCCAAAATATGGCTCCTATCCTAGACTCCCATATTCATTCTAGGTGTCTTTACTTGGGCTTAAGTCTTTTGCAGATAAAATGAGCAAACAAATCACAGAAGCAGAGTAAATAAAGCTAACCTTTCACATTCCCTCTCTTCCTCTCACAGGCATTCTACAGTAATTATGCATTACACAAAGCAATCAGCTCTGTTTTAAAACCAATGAAGATACATGAACACACCATTCTTACCAAAGAGCTCCCCCAGACTCTTATTTCCTTTACAGTTGATCTACAGAGTACTTGCAGAAAATCCAGATCAGCAAAGTACTCAGTCAGCAATGATTTGCAGTGTCTGCAAACATGAAGATAAATGTTCTCTTCCACACTCACTACACACCTTAAACACCTCTGAGCTGGTGCTGTGGCTTTAGCCCAGTGGACAGGTGGGAATAAGGGAGAGAATTGGGAGGGTAAAAGTGAGAAAATTGAAGGGTTGAGATAAGGGCAGTAAAACAAAAGCTAGAGACACAAGCAAAGCCAAAGGAGGAATTCATCCCCACCTCCCCAGGGCAGGCAGGTGCTAAGCCATCCCCAGGGCAGCTGGGCTCCATCAGAGTAACATCACACCAAGGTCCTCCCCTTCCTCCTTCTCCCCAAGCTTTAGATGTGAGAATGATGCTGGATGGTCTGGGCTGTCCCTGGGGCCAGCTGGGATCAGCTGTCCCCACTGTGTCCCCACTGTGTCCCTGCAATTCCTTGTGCACCCCCAGCTGCTCCACTGGTGGGGAGAGGAGCAGGAAAGGCCTCAGCCCTGTGTCAGCCCTGCTCAGTAACTCAAACATGCCTGGGAAATCAGGGCTGTGTCCTGCAAAAATCCAAACCACAGCCCACACCAGCTACCAGGAAGAAAATTTACTCTCCCCCAGCCCAAAGCAGCACAACTGGTAAGAAAACTTTATGGCATTCTGCCCCAGCAGCACCATCAGCCAGCTGTAATCACCACTGGTACTCCAGCAAATCATTTCCATGAATTAAGTATGCAGTACAGACTTTTTGCTATCAACAAATTACTTTTAACCTATCTATTGCACATGAACCTCCTAGGTATGATTTGAGGAAATACAGCTGAGAGCCATTATAACCTGTGAGAGTAATGAGAGCAGGATGCCAGCTCCAGCAAGGACCAGGAGCAGACGCTTGGGGATGACACAAAAGCAGAGAAATACAGCACACACCTCCCCAGCCCTCTGGGATGTACCTGCCCAGCTTCTGACAGACATTCCTGCACAAGAAAATGTATCTATTAATTTTTTTTTGTCAGCTCCAACTGGCTGCACCTTCAGTATCCCAGTGGCATTTGAAACTATTTAACCTCAGTAACACAAAGTCGTGGTATGTTTGGTTTCACAGTTATATCATGTTAAAAAAAAAAATCCCTTGTGCCTTTTTAAAATCCAACCTTGTAATTTGGACTAGATGACCTTTAAAACTCCCTTCCAACCTGAAGTATTCCATGATCCTTGGATGCTCCCAATTTCCCCATAAGAACCTGCAAACAACGGTTTCCTATCCCGCTTTTCAGTAACTTTTATTACTTTTATAGGCCAGTATCATACATGCATTCCTTAGTTTAGAAGGGTCCTGAAACAGGCTGAAAGAGGCTGAAACAGGCTATTCTCATATTGAAAGCTTTTTCCCTTTCTGATCATTCTCTATAGACTTCCTAGCACTAATACAGTGGTGTTTGAAATGGCACGAATGGTAAGTAAATACATACAGATTAAAATACAGATTCATACTCTGCACAGATTGCTATAATTAATTAAAAAATAACTGTAAAGGTTACAAAATTATAGGTCTCAGACAGAATCCATCCCACACACAAACCTGAGCACTTGAGATAAAATACCCTACACTCATGCACTGTCCATGGATGGCTGCCAGTGCCTTGAATCCTGCCATGCCCAGCGTTCAGGTAAATGGGGAGAAACACACCCAGCACCATTTTAATATCTGTCAACCTCCCAGCAGTGTAACACTGCCCAGGAGCTCCTGTGATACTCAGCTCCTCTGAATGCTGGCCATTAACCCTGCTCACCAGGTGCCCAATGTCTGCAGAGACACATCCCATCCTCTGCCACACGTGATGGACCCAGTGATTCCCTGACATGTACTGGTATTTAAACCAGCTTTTATTTCAAACTCCTCTTCAGGATTATGCAGTGCAATACTCCCTGCTACTCTACAAATGGCTCCTAACCTTCCATCCTAACTCTAAAATTCCCCTCCAGCCAGGCAATGGTAGGAATTGCTGAAGGCAGAGCTTGTGTCCAATAACCACTGCCATGCTCACCAAATCAACATTCATCTCCTCCACAGGAATTCAAATCACACTTAACCTCTAATGAACCCAGGCAGTACTTCACTACATGCCTCTTATCTATAAATGCACATGAAGTCTCCCTCTGTACAGGTTTTTTGTTATGCAGAGAAAGTTAAAAACCAAAATTATCTCAATTTGTCTGTTGTTAGCTCATCACTAAAACAAAGGCTAACCAACAAGCAGGTTTCTCTAGGAAATGCCATGTTTCTTGCTTCTTTCTTCTGCAAGGCAGCCTGGACTAGCTCAAGAGATGGTGAAGGGATATAAGCACAGTGTGCTTGGTTCAATCTATGGACAGAGGCCTGAAGGTCATCCTGTCAATGCCAGGACTGCAGCCAAATGCAATTAAACAATCCTATAAGTGTCTGTAAAATCAGATCTAGGAAACACTGGGGTGAGGGGGGGGAAACTGTGTGGTGCTTAGTTGCCACCTGGGCTAAAACCACAACAGAGAGAAAGAGAAAACTTTAAAAATGTATTTTATACCTCACTCCAAACAAGCTCATGAAGACACTGCAAGGGACACAAGCCTACCTCAGGCTGCCTTTCCTGCTCAATACCTGAAAGGCAGTGCTTAAAGCAAACAATCATTTTAATTTTGACACCAAACATAAACTGAAACATCTGGAGCTCACTATTAATTCCAAACCACTTTCCCACCAGGACTGCATAGTCAAGTTCACATTTCAAAGATGAGTAAGTATTTCTCTATTCAAAATAATGAAGTTGCAGTCCAAAAACCCACCTCAAACCTACAGTGTTGTAAACTGCTTCCTCTCTGGTCATAAATCCTGCCTGGCTTCTTACACCATGGCTATTTTAACTGGGAAGTTTCCCCATCCATCTTTCAGCCCTTGTACCCCTCTCCTTGACCTTTCCAATACACCAAAACAAATCTTGAGTCCTGCCTTGAAGATTTTCATGGCACTCCTGGTTTGTTTGAGGTACTGTCCTGTTACCCACTGCTCTCCCAGGCCTGCTCTGTAAGTGCTGCCTGTGCAGGGCTCAGAGCAGTGCAGGCAGGATGGGGATTAGGGGCAAGCACCATCCTTGGGAGTCTGGATAACAACTTCAGCTCTGGCCATGATAAATTGCCCAATCCCTTTGTATATGCTTCAAACTCTGTCTGCAAAATGTTTGGTTTATCTTAATAGCTGAAAAATACTGAAAAATTGACTATAAGAAGGAAAAACCCCTAGGTGAGAACTAAATGCAAAGACCAGGCAGGGGCTCTTCCCTTGCACACTTCTGGTTTTACTTCATTTTTTCTATCCATGTCAAAATAACCAATTTAAAATCCTTCTTAGTATGTACCTCTAACTCCACACCAGCAAAATGCACTATTAGCTAGACAGCAAACTGGGATTATTGTTTACATTGAAGTTTTACCCATCAGTCCCTAACTCTTTTTCCTTCTGTCGTCTCACTTCTCATGCATGTGTTCCATTTTGCCATATTCTTCACACGGGATTAACAAGATATCAGGATATTTATTAGTTGAGAGATGCTAACACCCTTAGTTTAAGGGGTGAACTGATATTATGGAGTTGATTCATGCCTCAGAAAACTTCTACTCCAAGACAAAAGACAATGCATGAACAAGACACATAGACCACAGATTAACAAAACAGTACAAATGAACAGTAAATTGTTACACAATAATTAGCTGTTACTAATAGACTGCATGACAATTTTTAGTGTTTAGAAGACAGCAAAACTGTCACCACACATTATTCCCAAACCAAAGAATAAGGAAACATTTTGTCACTTCTAATATGTGTAGAAGGAACATTTGCCCCCAACACCTTGACTTAATTTCTTCCCTGACTGGAAGGAAGCCCTCAGCCTTGTCAATGAACCTTCACCCTGATCACCCAACTGTAACTGCATCTTCCTATGCCAGCCCCTCCTTTTCTGGAAAGGAACAGAATTCCTTCTCCAATCACCAGACCCACTGTGCACATTACACTAAAACATCTTAGAGAAAGGCTGAATCCTCTCCTATGTGTTCTTAGAAGTGTTTTGCCTCTTGTCTCTGTAGAATCCCCAGCCCATGTGTCCTCCAACAATAAAACTTCCCAACTCTTCTCACCTTACTCGTATTGTAAAAGGATCTGCTTTGCTGTCTGATGGCTCCATTGGCTTGAATCAATCCACCACAGAATTTGGAGAGTTGGAAGGTGCCAGCCTTGTGTCTCTAGTAGAAATGAAAAAAGAAAAGAAAAAGAATTAAGAGACCACTGATTTTGCATCAACCACCTGTAGTTTTCTTCCAAGTCAATTAATTCTGGCTAATCCTGAAAAACTCTGCATCACAAATAGCACAAATTTATTACAGCAACTGTTACAAACAAAATGGTTGTCTATCCTTAATGCTCCAGACCACATTTTCCAGTGTTCCATAAATGCACTGATGGAATGGACTGGTAGAACACTGTACTCAAAAGCCACAGCCTCTCTGCTTTGGCTCTCGCACCATTTCTAATTATGGGGTTTGTCTCTTAATAAAGAACAGTTGTTTTCTCTGACTCAGCAGACAAACAGCTATTTTTATCTACACCTTTATAGCCTGTTCAATTGTTTTTGTGGCCAAGACTTGAGAAAACACAAATTGCAGTGTAAATGCTACCACTACAGCCCCTATGACTTCAATCCCAGATCTAGAGCACAACAAAGAAAATTCTCAAGCAGGAGCAAGTGAGCTCTCCAGGAAAGAAGCTGCACACTGAACAGAATATTCTCAGTCTCCCAGCACATCCAGCTCAGCAGTACCTTATTTATCAATTAATTCAGACAGAGTAAATATGCTGTTCAGAGCAGTCATCCCCAGATGTGTACTGAATGTAGAGTAAGCCCAACTTCATTAATAATTTCACAACTGCTCATTTCCACCTCTAGTCCCAATATCAAGTGCTACTGGTGCAAACTGGTGCTTTAATAGTAGGGTTAGCATTCTATGTCTATTCCCATTTTCTACATATTTTTCACCCCTTTATCATTAGCTGCTATTACTTGATGCTCTAGTTGATTTACTCTGGACAGACACACTCTGGCACTATGCTGGTGTCCCACAACAGTGAGCCAAACTGCAAAGCTTCCACTGCAACAACACTAAATGTGCTGTGCAAGGTAAGCATCCATCAGTATTGGGAAGTCCAAGGTCACTGCACAGTGGAGATGCCCTATAAAATAAAGTGTTCTCTAAAATAAAATGCTGGAAGCAGCATGCAAATATGACTGGCTTGTAATAGCTCGTTTGGAAACGTAACATCTCCATTTGGACTTCTGCATTTAATCTTCTCATGACAGATCATCTGGATCTATTAAAAGACACACCTGGACATGTAACAAGAGTGGGAACTCACTCTTGCAGCAGCAGAGAGCTCTAGAGTTGCCTTGGAATTTCCACAATACACAGTGAAGACATCACTTTTGGAAGCCTCTTTATTGAAAAACTCTTACTTTTTCTTGGTAATTTCAGAACATTCCATTTTTAAGACACTTTAACATGCAGTGATGTCTTACCTGGAAAGCACTGCAGAGCATCCACCTCCAGGGGCCTGGGACTGCAGGGCTCTGCAGCAACCCACAGCACCCTGCTGTCCACTGGGTCACTCCAGCCTGGCAGCTCTGCAACGAGGAGAGGAGCAATGAGGGAAAGGACACAGATGTGCAGAAATAGTGTAACTGCCCCTCTGCTCTCACAGGTTTTATTAATTCATATGACAAAAACAACATGGAGCTGTGTAAGGAGGGCAGGGGGGTTTAGGTTGGGTGTCAGGGAAAGGCTCTTCCCCAGAGGGGGCTGGCACTGCCCAGGATCCCCAGGGAATGAATGGGCACAGCCCCGAGGCTGCCAGAGCTCCAGGAGTGTTGGGACAGCTCTGCCAGGCACAGGGGGGATTATTGGGGTGTCTGTGCAGGGCTGGGCATGGGACTCACTGATCCTTGTGGGTGCCTTCCAGCTCAGGATATTCCATGATTCTAACAATCCTCAGATTCAACTCCCAACTTGTGCTTGACAAGAGTATAAATTTTGATTATGAAAATATTTTGCCTTCCAGTACAAGTATCCAACCCGAGTCTGATGGCAGAAACAGATGAATGGAAGGAAATGGTGGGCTGTCTACATCATAAAACCACACCACAATTACTCTGTCTATACAATAAATTCAAATGCTTAAGAAGCATTCTTCAATTGACTGAGTAAGCTCTAAAAAGCCCTCATCCAACTCAGCTTTTATGCATCTTTCTCTTACTTTACTCAGGCACAGCTAAGAATTTTCATATTCCAAAAGTATATTGTCCCCATAAATTTTAGTGAAGATCATTATTTTCTGTCCTGAAAATGTCAGCAATACAAAGAAGAGGGGGAGCTTTTTATTCCTGCACCTTCTTTGCACCTTTCACCTTCTGCAACATTTAAGTTAGTACAATATTTGCCTCCTTCATACATACACTACATCAACATTGGAAATAATGTATGGAGATGCCATTTTCCAATAAAAATAGCTTCATTTTTGGTTGGCCACAAAGATGATTAAGAGACTGAAGTATGCAATGTATGAGCAGAGAAGACTTCAGGGAAATCTTATCAATCTGTATTAACATCTGGAGGGGTGGGCAGTCAGGCTGTCCCGGGGGTGCTCAGCGAAAGGACAACCACGAGAGCAGCAGATCTGCCCAGAGACCAGAGGAACCAACACAAAGCACCCCGAGTTCCTGTCCCCCTCCTGTGCCCTGCACTGCCACCGCTGTCCCTCAACTCCAGAGCTGCACCTTGAATCCATCAAGGGAACAGATTTGGGGTTTTAAACACCGCCCAGGGAGAGATGCTGTCCCATGCCAAACATGGTGAGTGTCCACTGCTACTCCACCTTCTGATCTACTCAGGCTTCTGATCTTTGCACCTAACATCACCATCAGCAAGTGAAATGATGAAAATGACACATTTCTATCCGAAAAACCATTTCAGCTGAGTCCCACAAAATACTTCTTGAGACAACCTAGTGTTCTGACCCAAACAGTTTAATAAACACTTAATTGAAAAAGAAGTTTGGTTGGTTTTTTTTGCGAACAATTACTACAAGATCCAAGGATCTGACACAGTTTTTTTGAGGCTTTCTCTCACTAACATGCCCAGGTTATGGCTTAGAGCTTGAACATACTGAGGTTTGGAACTGCTGAAAAGCACAAATGCAACAAAACTGGACAGAGACATATGAAAACAAACAAAAAAAAAAAAAAAAAAAAGCATAAGCACACTAAAAAGCTGAGATGTGATAAACAATCCAGTAATAAAGAAAACAGACACCAGGACATAGCAGGGAATATGAGGAGCTAAGGAATTTTCTCTAAGCCAGCATCACTCTGCAGAACACAGCCTTCCTTTCAAACTGCAAGTGCTTCTTTTGCTTCCCCCCTGGGCTGAAAGAAAATGTACCAAGCCTAACCTGAACAGGATTACTCAGGAATGGTCTGCAGACAGCTGCCTTGTCAAGACAGAGATGAAAGAATATCACTAGTCTTCTAAATCCTCTTGGCAAACTTTTGGAAAGTCTAAGGTAGCAGGCAAGCTATTTATCAAGGTATCTTGGGCAAAAGCCAGATTTATCATAATGCCAGTATTAAGGAGCAGAGCTGAAATGTCAGGGCTGTATCATACAGCAGGAGCTCAAAGTCAGACAAAAACCAAATTTTCCTTATTTCCAGTAAAAGGAAGAAAGACAGAAAGTTTTAAGACTCGTTTTCATACAATTAGGAAACCACAGAATTCTAATGCAGAAACATGTGCTGAGAAATGCCAGGGATGAGCAGCTCTTGAGCTGAAGCTGAGCATACTTCAGATCACAAAAATGGCAGATAACTACATCATCTCCTCTCCAAAGAGAAACCTTTCTGGTCTGGCTGAAAAACCAAATCAGCTTGCTTTGCCACAGGAATGCCAGCAGCAGCTGGCTGAGGAGCTGCCCAGGGACAGGTAAGCCCAGGAGGCAAATTCTTCCCCTTCAGAAGCAGCTTTCATTGCAATCCCTGCCCCGGGGGTGAGGCTCCACAGACAGCTGAGCCCTCCTGGTGCCTCACTGCACCCCTACTGCCCTCCCTGCTCCCTTCCTGCCTGGCTCCCCCCTGGCTGACCATTGCCTCTAACCCTTTCAAACTGCACAACCTGTTGTCACTGTTCTGCTGCTCCAGCACTTGTATCATGGGGCCAAGAAAAAGGCAAGGAACAGAGCAAGGACAAAGCACAGAGAAAGGGCAGGGGCGGGAGGAAAAAGCAGGAAGTCAAGGTCGCTGCATTTGAGCTGCTCTCGGCAGGTTTGTGTGTGGCTGCTCTCATCCTGAGCTTGGAAAGGGCAGGGCTCAGCACGACTGGGGAAACCACACCCTGAGCCATCGGCTCAGAGTACCTGGGAGACTGATTTCATAAGAGGATATTGCCCCTATACTAAAGGCCTTTGCCGTTCCTGGGACATCTGTCCCCACCTAGCAGTGCTGGCCACCCTGTGTGGTGACGTAAGATCATATCCAGGTACAAAATTCCGTGTTCTAGACAATATGCTAAAGAGAGGAACTCTGCCACAGATGCTTTAAAGGCTAATAGAAAGAAAAAAATGCACACAAATGAATGGGAAAGAAGAAAGGAGTGGAGGCAGTGGAAACCCACACTTTCACAGGAACCCATACACTTCCAATCTGAATCACAGAACCACTAGGGCTAGAAAAGTTCTCTAAGGTGATCAAGACCAACCATTACTAAACCATGTCACCAAGTGCCATATCCACATGGTGTCTGAACATTTCCAGGGATGGTATCTCCACCACTGTCCTGTGGTGGTGCCAGTGCCTGGGCAGTAACACAAGAACTGGAATCTTTACCCTTGCTATCAAACAGCTCCAGAGTGAGAGGGGAAGGTCCCATAAGGGCAATGCCCACCCCTCAGGGCACACACTGAGCCCACGGGCGGGCTTGTGTCTCCAGTTCCCAGAAGGAGCCCAAACCCTTACACAACAGAAACACAGGATCAATTAACTTGGAAAAGACTTCTGAGATCACCGAGTTCAACCTACGACTGCAACACCATCATGTCAACTAGACCATGGCACAGAGTCCCTTAAACACCTCCAGGGATGGTGACTCCACCACCTGCCTGGACAGCCCCTTCCAATGCCTGACCACCCTTTCAGTGAAGGAATTCCTCCTGATGTCCCAGCTGAACCTCCTCTGGCACAATTTGAAGCTGTTTCCTCTCATCCTTGTTCCCGAACTCCTCCTGTCTGTTCCCTCCTATCAGGGAGTTTGTGCAGGTGCCCAAACTCAGGCTCAGGTGCCTTCTGAGCCTCCTTTTCTGCAGGCAGAGCTCGCCCAGCTCCCTCAGCCACTCCTGGCGCTCCAGCCCCTTCCCCAGTTCCGTTCCCTTCCCTAAACACACTCCAGCCCCTCACTAGCCCTTCAGCAAACACAAACTCCAAAGGAAAAGCTCTCCCCGCTGCTTCTCCAGACATCGGGCGCGAGGCCACAGGGCGGGAAGCAGGAGCAGCCCCCGCTGACGCCCCTCGAGCTGCGGGGGGAGGCCGCCACAGGGGCGGCGCGGGGACATCCCCGGCTCCACACGCCGCTCGCCCCCTCAGCACCAGAGCTCTGTCCCCTCCTTCCTCCCCTCCCTCCTCCCTTCGCTCACCAGGGCCCGCGCCAGCGCCGCCATGAGTCCCCAGTGCCGTTTCCGCCGGCGCGGCCCGGCCCCTTCCGCGGGAAGCGCCGGGCGGCGGCGTGAGGCGGGCTGGCAGCGATCGGGAGCCTTCCCCGCCGTGAAACAAACCGATAATGGCACGCTTGAGAGAGTGATTATGTAGTGTTTCTATGGGAGGGAGAGCACCTTTCCCTGGTATTTAAAGCGCAGGTCGTAAGCTACCCATGGGAGGTAAACGTTAAGGAAGATTTCCATTGTGAAACGCCCTGGCAGTCACACTGCCAAAGGTCAGACATACTCGCTGCTGGAACTTAAGCCCCTCCACAGTGGGAGGCTCAAATGAGCGGAAGGGTGTCCGTGCATTCCCCACTCCCACAGAGTCAGACCAGGTTTCCCACAGCAGAGTCTCATGTGTCTCATTCACAAAACAATTTATTTTCGGTGCAAGAACGCAGAAACAGCTCGAGCCGGTGCCTCCAGGGAGGGACCTTGACTCCCTGGGCTGTTACGCCTTCACAGTCTGAGCACAGCAAAGTCTCAGCTCTTCCTCGTGGCTCTCTGGCTCCTGTCCCCCTCTCCGTGTCCATCCACTTCCCTCGCTCCTGCTGTTTCTCAGTGTGATCACCTGGACCTGTCTTTGTGGCCTTTGTTAACCAGAGGCTGGCAGCTCATGGCTTCCACCCAGAGCTCAATCCACATTTCAATCTGCCGTCTGCAGGCCGAGTTACTTGAACCAGATTTATTTCTCAACAGTAAAGCCTAGCAACAGTTTTCTGACATCTCACATCTTGTGTAGGAGCAACCCCTGGATCTATTCAGTTTTGGAGCAAATTTTGCAGCCAAATTGCAGATGTCCAGTCCAGAAAGTGAATCAAAGCACCTTTCCTGGGAAAGGGCAATACCTGTTCGTCCTGTTGGTGCTACAGGTAATCATCTGCCTAGTGCTGGAAAAGGCCAGCAAGACTTTTCTGCCTTGACACCTTTTGTGTGTGAAAAATCTTTGGATGTATTCAGTATTGGAGGTGGTATCATAAATTTTGGAGATGGACCCCTGAATGGAAATGACTGTGCTTTTCCATGGGAATGAGAGCCAGTAGCCCCAGTGTTCCAGGTGCAGATGATGGGCTGCCCAACAGCAGGAGAAGCCAGCAAGGCCTTTCTTTCTTGGAGCCTGTTGTGTTGTAGCAATCCCTGTGCGTGTTCAGCCTTGGAGCTGAGTTCCTGATGCCAAACTGGGATCTGCATCTAAATGACGCCACCTTTCCTTGAGAAAGGGAGTACCTAGTCCTGTTCTTGGTGCTGCATATGATCATCTGCCCAATGGAAATGAAGGTCAGCAAGATTATTTATTTCAGAGTTGTGCAAGCCTGGGAGCTTGGTGATATTCAACAAATCTAGCATACCCTAGCAGAATTTGCACCACATTTTTTAGACACGGAAATTCAGAATTAGGAACTTCCCATTAGGATCAGTTTATAGTTTCCATACAGTTACATAACCCAGGAGTCTTTTTGACCTGTAGGCATGATGTAGGTATTACAATGAACATAGTTCACCTATGGGTACATAGACCTTGAGTATTTTGCCAGGTTAGCAATGTAGACATAGACATACATCAACATCTTGATTTACTGTGTTCCTTAAAGCTTGTTAGTTACAGGATGTCCACAGGTAGGGGATGCTCCTGCTCCCTGTCCCACTGATAGGCTTTCCTTTGTTGATCATTAGGCTTGAAAGTATACAAAGACTTTACACCAAAGAACATACTGACTTAAGACAATCTTGACATATTCCACATTTTTGCAACAGCATGGGAGGCTCCAGGTCTGTGCTGGGGTTTGGTTTGGAAGGGGCAGAGGTGGCAGATCCGTGCCTGCCCAGTGCTGTCAGCATGTCCTGGGGGACAGTGGCTCTGCCCCGGGGCAGCAGGGAGAGCAGCATGGAAGCAGCAGTAGCTCCCGTGGCTGAAGTTGGTGAGGCCATGGTGGCTGCCCCAAGTATCAGTGTGAGCCTGCACTCGTGTCACCAGGAAAACATGGCAGAGTCCCTCACCCAGAGTCCCCCAGAGCAAACAGGAGCCATCCCATCTGTCCCTGCTGCATATTCCCTGCCAGGAGCCATCCCACCTGTCCCTGCTGCATATTCCCTGCCAGGAGCCATCCCGCCTGTCCCTGTCCCGCGTTCCCTGCCAGGAGCCATCCCGCCTGTCCCTGTCCCGTGTTCCCTGCTCCTGGCTGCTCCTGGCTGCTCCTGGCTGCTCCTGGCTGCTCCTGGCTGCTCCTGGCTGCTGCTTTCACGAGGCCACAGAGTGAGCCTGAGCAGTGACCCAACGGGCTGAGGCGAGCTGGCTTGTTTTGCCAGGTTAGGCTGAATCTGGATCACATCCACATCACCTCACAAACGCCAGTGCTGGTGCAGATGTGAGCAGCAGCAGCCGCAGCTGGGGCAGGCAGCGAGGCTGCGCGGCCGGCGGCAGCGCTGGCTCAGAGGGCTTAGGGAACTATAACATTCTCCTCCTCTCTTTCCCAGCACGTTAACTGGGATGTCAGCTTCTCAGGAGAGCAGTAGCAGCTGCTTTAAATGGCCCTGAAACTTCACAGTAGTCCTTAGAAATCTTTCATATGTTCTTAAATATCAGGCCTCAGGGGGCCAATGGAATCACCTGTCTGGAGTTCTTATCCAAGGCATCCCAGGTCCCTGTGCTTGCAGCTGGTCTTTCCCGAGATGTTCTGCCTCCCCACAGCTATCTGCTGAAAGGGGTTTAACTGTGTCTGACAAGCTGTTTAGTGAACAAGTTGTTCTGACACGAGGCAGGATGTTGAACAATGCAGGGGACTGTGGGATCCCTGTTGGCGAAATGCTACATTTCATTTTGTTCTTGTCCCTGCAGTGAATTCCAGGCAGGAAGGTTAAAGCTGCTTTTGTTGTTTCATGTTTGCTTAGCTGCCCTTTCATGCATTACACTCAAACCAATATTAAATACCATTATTAACAGCAATTTTTTTGGTGAGAAGGTGATGGAGAGGAGTGATTGCACTTTTCTGAACTCTCTTTGCCATTAATGAGTTACAGTCATTAAAAATGATGATCCTCAAGAAGCCCTAAAGTGTGTAGTCATGCAGAGAAAAGGCTCTTGCCACCAGCAGTGTCTCTCAGTGATGTGACATCGTCTGTCCACTACAGTGGACACTTTCCAACTCAGAGCTGTGTCTGATAAATATTGACACTTACCTGGGTTTGTGTTAGTCCTACCTAATGATGCACATGAAGATTCTGACACACTTCAGTTGGAGAAAGTTCCTGTCCCACCTAAGATTCCTCTGCCTGTCACTGCTCCATGTAGCACCAAACCCTTTCCCTGTCAGTCTGTCTGATCACAGCTCCCTGAGGGAACAGAACAGCCTCTGATGGGACATGAACCCAGAAGACTTCACTGTGGACCTGAATTTCAATTTAATTTCAGTTCTGAAGGGATTCCCTCAGTCACAGCACTGGCAATTTATTCTCCTTTGCTCACATTTTTGCTGTCCTCAAGCTCCTCCGCTCAGCTCTGCTCAGCGGGCAGCTCCACAGCTGTGTGGGTCTTACATCTGAGATAATGAATCTTCCACGTGGAACATTCCCTCTTCCTGGGAGATTGTCACCTGAGGCCACTAAACAGACTGAGAAACTTGTTATGTGTTTTCTGCAAGATGTTGGGGAACATCAACAATGGCCTCAGGTGCTCATGTGGCTGAAGAGGAAAGAAGAATCAGAAAGGATATAATAATGTTTAATGTATATAATGAATTATAAAATATTTTTCTTATTATTTATAATAATAATTCATTTATTAATACATTATATTTAATGGGCCTCCTGATTTGGTCTCAATCCTGTCTTCTCTTTAACCTCTCCCATGCTGGTTCAGTGGTCATTACTACAAATCTCTTTCCTTTTTGTCCAAATTAGCAAGGAATGATAAATAACTTTTAAACAAAGATATTTAAATACTTGATCTTCCTGTCCTCCTCATTCCCCATCAGCACATAATTTTCTTTTGAATGTTAACATAGCACATGCTCTTCCTGTTTTCACACAGAAAAGCAGACTGATCATTTTTATGCAGGCCTGTGGTTTTATATTTCAAAATGTTAAATATGCAGGTTAACTGACCATCTTGAAATAAAGTCCTGTAACAGCATCTTGTATTTTTCTCTTCTTGGACACATGAAGAATAAAAGTCAAGTGGATAAGGTAATTGTTAGCCCAACATTTGCTGTAGGGAGCTCCCTCCTTCTGAAAAACAAACAGAGCTTTAGATCAGGGCAGAAGTACAAATCTTTCAACTTCAGTCTTTCCTCAGCTCATTCTGAAATTCCTGTCTAAGTAAAGATTTTAAATTGTATTAATTTTCCTTCTCTACCACCTGCTCCTTCTTCTGCAGAAGTAAAGTCAAAGGACTCTCATGGTCATGTGAGGAAAGAGGAACTATCCATGTTGCCTGGGACAAGCAGGGCTGGGACATTCTTGCTAACAAGAAGGAAAATAACCCATATGGGTATTCCAGGACACTCTGGAGATCATGATAAAGAGAAACCCAATAGAAAACATTCAGTTCAAGTCCAGCAGATCTTATTAATTCTGGCTCTGTGCCAATAGTGCAGGAGTGCCAGCTGGCCCCACAGCTACGTGAGCGTCGTTCCTGGTGCTCCAGGTCCTGAAGGGGTTGTTCTGTACGTCCCACCTGGCACTGCCTCCTGTCTCATGCACTCCTTCAGGACTGGAAGTGCAGATCAGTGATAACATACACCTTGGAGCACTGGTATATGTGGATTGACTTCTTCCAGAGCTTTCCTGGATGTGTCTGCTCTGCTCTGAGCAGAACTCTGAGTTCCAGCAGAGTGGTGAGGGGCCTGACCGCAGGGGAAACCCAGGTTCACTGGATTCCTGTCTCTGGCTGTTGCTGAAGGAAAAGGGCTTTTCTAAGCTCGAACTGGTAGTTCATAAACAAATTTGTCATACTTCGCTCTTGCAAAATTTTTCTCCTTTTCATATGGAGTA